CGCACTTAACCGCTAAGCCACGGGGCCGGCCCACCAGCTGGAATTTCAAACGGGATCACTTTGAATATATAGATTTGAGGAGAACTGATCTCCTTATAGTATCACTCAATTCAAGATCAGGAAATGTCTTTCCATGATTTCAGTTCATATTCTATATCCTTAATTTGAGCTTTAAAATTTTCTCTATAGAGGGCCGGCCCCGTGGCTTAGCGGTTAAGCGTGCGCACTCTGCTGCTGGCGGCCCGGGTTCGGATCCCGGGCGCACACCGACGCACTGCTTCTCCGGCCACGCTGAGGCCGCATCACACATACAGCAACTAGAAGGATGTGCAGCTATGACATACAACTATCTACTGGGGCTTTGGGGGGAAAAAAATAAATAAATAAAATCTTTAAAAAAAAAAATTTCTCTATAGAGGTTTTATGTATTCTTAAGATATTTCTACATATTTTATGGGATTTGCTATTATGAATGGTATTATCTCTCCATTTTCTACTAGAGTATTGTTTGTATAAAGAACTAACACTGATTTTTATAGGATAGTCTTAGAACTATCTAAAAGCTTTTATGTGTTCTAATAATTTGTCTGTGGAGTCTATTTTTTTCTAGGTATATCATCACATCAATTACAGACAATGATAGTCATTGATCTACACGATTCTTATTTGTTTTTCTTTAAGAGACTGTATCTAAAGTTTATCCATTAGGTATAATGTTTACTGTAGGCTTTATTCTTTTTTCTTCCTTCCTTTCTTCCCTCCTTTCTTCCTTTTCCTTCCTTCTCCTTCCTCTCTCTCTCCCTCCCTCCCTCCCTCCCTTCCTTCCTTCTTTTCTTTTCTTCTTTCTTTCTTCCCTGTTAGGTGTATATCATTAGCATGATCATACATGCCAATTTGCCCAGAACAGTCCTATTTTACTCTTTTTTACTTGGCATTTATCTAGTATAGTATTAGTACTGGACAAAAGTGTCAAAATTTGGAATTATTTGGAAGATAAATTATACAGTTATTCTATATATAACCTTTACCAAGCTCAGAAATTTCTCCTATCATCATAGTTTTTCAAAAGTTTTTATCATAATTAAGTGGTGGACTTTATCAACTTCTTTTTCTGTATGAACTAAGGCAATAATATACTATTTATGTGGATAATTACATCGATAGATTTTCTGATGTTAAAACATCCTTTAATTTCTGGAATAAACCCTACTTTATCATAATATATCATTTTAATATACTTCATATTAGATCAAATATCATTTTACTTAAAATTACTTCATAAATAAAAAGGAATTACGTTTTTATTTTCTTGTGTTGTTCTTATCTGGTTTTGGAATCAAGATTATATCAGCCTTTTATAATAAGCTGACAGCATAGAATATTTTTCTATTTTCTATGAAATCTTTAAAGAGAGAATTTAATAATTTCTTTAAATTTGGAAGAACTCATCTGTAAAACATCTGGGTCTGGATTTGGGGGAGATATAGAGAAGATGGCTTTGATGGAGGTTTTCACTTGTTTAGTACTTATTTGTATAAACAAGTTCTCTATTTCCTCCTGTGAAATTATAGACATTTTCTATTTTTCTAGGAATGTGTCCATTTTATCAAGTTTCCAAATATATTTTGGTATAGCTGTTTGTAATATTATATGATTATCTTTTGTCACATTTTGTGATTGTATTTTATGATTCCCTTTATTTTATGATTATAAATCTAAACCATGATGGGTTTATGGTATTTCCCCTTTTTATCCTATACTTCATATTTTGGCGTTTCCTCTTACCCTTTTTTCTTTTCCTTGATTATTTTTGCCAGAGGTCAGTCTAACCTACTAATTTTTCAATGAATGAGATTTTGCTTTTGTTAATCCTCTCTTTTGTTTTCTATTTAACTTATTTCTATTTCTATTTTTGCTATTTCCTTATTTCTTGTTACTCAGGGTTTGCTCTATTATACTTCTTAAAAATTTTTTTGATTTGAATGCTTAGGTCATTTTTTAAATACTCTAATCTGTCCTCTACTGCTGTCCCAGCAGTCAGCACCCCAATTCCCACACACACACTAGGTCAAGCCAGCCTTCAATCTACCCACGGTTGCTCACATTTCTTGTTGTTTTCATTTTATTCTGTTATTATTAGTGCCTGGAATGCTATCGTTCTCTTGAGATGATTCTAAGAGACAGAGTCAGCAATCTGGACTAATTTACTATCTTGGCAAGAACTAGAAACTAAAAATTATTTCTAACGTTTATATTTAGGCTCAGACTTTAGCATTCTTCCCAAGAAGTTTACCTCCCAATAATAGCATCATCTACTGTATCAGATGATATTTTAAAGGTCTATATAGATCATAGAGTTATTTAGTCTATTTTCTAAGGAACAGAACGCAACTTAAAACATTACATTTATATAATGAAATCCAGAGTATTTCTGTCCAAATTCCATGTTTGCAAAGCAGTACATGGGATATGTGGATAGACTGAAGTGGTTTCTCAACTCCTGAAACTCTAAATCTAAATATTGTCCAGAAAGTATGGGTTAGTATTAGTGGTATAATTTCTTGGGTGTCCTTACCCCACTGTAAGGAGCTCCATGCATGAGCTGTGGTAACTGTACAATTACTGTTAGGTTTACTAGGGACAGGATTATAAAGGTTTTTTTCCACTTAGGGCCATTGGACTACAGAATATACAAATCAAATGACAGAAAAGTTTAACTTATGTAGAACATTTCTGTTTTCAACAATGGAATTCATCATATATGCCTAGACATAAATAAAAACCAAAATATAAAATTTGAATTAAAAAATAATAAAAACTATATTTTTGTTTCATAATATGGGTCAGTTAAATAATAATACTTTACATTTGAAGAAAGTTTGATGTAGTAAAAAGTCTATCTACATAAATATACTTACTTGGTATTCCCAACAGCTCTGAAGTTAGAAAATATAGTTATAGTGTATATTTAAATACAGAACTTGAGATGTTAAATAACTTGCTTAACCTGATACAGTAGAAATTTTTAGGTCCGGGACTAGAACCCACATCTTATTTATTTATGCATTTATTTTTTAGTACTTGGCTTTTCTACCATGCTGCCAAAGAAGATAGGCAAAGAGACAAGGAAGTTGGGTGGAGCCAGGAAAGAGGAAGTTGAGAGGGATAACAGGAGAAAAAGAAAAATATTTTATCTAAGCAACTTCCCCAAAACACACAATGTAGTACTAAAATGTTATTTATCTTTATCCAAATGTACTCTGTGATCAAAGGTACGTATCTTCTAGAGTATTGGAGCCTGCGAAAACACAGCCTCATTACATCGACCTAAGAAACAAGGATTAACATTATATTTTTTAATGCAAGCTTGTAATTTTTAATATCCAAATATTGTCTATTTTTATTATAAAATATTCATATTCCTACCTAAAATTGAGAAGCTGAAATAGTCTTGATATTATATCTTTTCTCCACTTTAACAGTGCAAACCCTTAGTTTTTGCTTTAGAGAAAGTGAGTCATGTGTAAGTTTACAAAAGAAGAGACGTTTTTCATGGATGCACATCGACATCCCATTGTCCTTTTAAGATGGCAGCTAAAGTCAAGTGGAAAACACCCAGCAACCCACAAAACAGAAATGGGTCGTGACACAGAGTTCTAAAGAGAGACATCACTGAACTGATGTCCTGCCATTGATGAAAGGGTGAAAGGAGACGCAGTATGTTACCGTTGAGTAACCTTGGCTCAGGATGTGCCACACAAACACGATTCACACCCTCATGGACGCAAAAAATGGAAGAGTAACCACTCCAGGAACTATGAAAAAGAACACTTGGTTCTAAAAGGATCTTCTCCTCAATAATGTTGGGTTCTTATCTTGTCAACTGTCTTGAAGGGTAAATATAAGTACATACCATCATTTCAACGTAAGCCTCCCCAAGAAAAGAGGAAAGGTATAAATACTCCGCTATCTAAACATGGAATCTTAGATCTATCTAAGATTCTTAGATCTATCTAAACTCTGGAATGTCTGCATTTGTACTCAAAAAAAAAAAAAACACACAAACAAAAAGCCACACCCTAAACTATAATTAAACACTGAAATTTCAAGAGAAAGGAGAGTTTAATAGAAATAGTTATTTGCAAAACTGAATTAACAATTTTAAGCTGCATAATTATTAATGCATGTCAGAGTACATTTCTACTTTTTTTTTCAAGGAAGATTTACTTTTTGTTTCTGCAGGGCTTGGAGCCTCAAGTTGGCTGGGATGAGAATGGGGTGGAAAGATACACAGATGGGACGATTCTGAGCCTAGAGGGGGAAGGAGAGCACATCTCTGTGGGCTGGACCCAGAGAGCATCCCATCAGAAAGAGGTGTACACATTACATTCTGCTTTTATTGTTTGGAAATGCTGATGACTCTCCCAAGAAAAATTAATAAAATATTTCTATATTTGCTTAAAGCAAACTGAAGCCTTTTATCTTTAACTGACATTTAGTTGAAATCATCTAATCTATTTGGGTGTGGAAATGCTACCTCACTCCTTGAGAGTCCAGAATTGTATCCAAAAGCAAAACTTGGGTAGCATATTGCAGAGAATAATGAGATGGTGTTGCAAAGAGAGAACATTTAAATAACAATTATTTAGGTCATAAGCTCTGGGCAGTGTAGAGATCTTTCCTTTCATTAAAAGATAACCCATGAAAACTCATGTACTTATAGAGAATGTTCTGGTACCTTAATATAACTTAGCATCAGCCCAATGACTCTTCATGAGAAAGACACAAGAATGAAACACACTAAAAAGTCAAAATGCCACATGGTAATTAAAGAACTGTTCCAAATTTGTCTACATGTCTTTAAATAAAAGGACAGTAAAATTGTATATAGAATGTGATCCTCCTTCCAAGGCTAATGAACTTGTATTGGATGGAATACATACAGGTGGAGGGTTAGACTTGGTCAGATCTAAGTTCCCTTCTATTTCTAAGATTATATGATTGAGATCCTTTGAACTTACCTAAATATTTTGGATAAAAATATTCCTAGAAAGAAAGAAAATAAAAAATATATCTTAGCAAAACTATATTTCACTATAGAGTTAAAATTTAATTTTAAACTATGTTTTTAGATTAAAGACGCAAATAAATTACATATAACTGTCATTACAATATAGTGTTTTTTCTATAGTAAAATATACCAGGAGTAGATAACTAATAACATTAAGACAATACGATGCTGCGGCTTACAGCAATATTGATCAATTGAATCATCTTTCAAAAGCTTTTAATCTGAAAACAGGTTCTATTGAAGATGTTAAAAGTAATCATATATGCCCCCTTTTTGTAAATCCTTTAATTTTTCCATAATGATTACATATCCATTTGATAAATTTCATGTCATGCTGATTACACATACCAGATTCAATGTGGAATAACAGTGACATAATTTGAAGTGAATTAAAGTGGACATTTATCTTTTACCATCTTATGTACCTATATTACCTTACTTATAAATTGGTTATGTACCAAAAGTTTGTCTGCAAATCAGTAATCTGGACTAAGGAATGCACTTTACCAAAAGGAGGAATGATTTATGATGGTAAGGTCCCCATGCTGGTTCACAAAAGCCTTCTTAAGCCATAATACATCTAATGTGCAGCATTATTAGCAGAAGAACACCACATGAGAAACCAATGTTTCTACACAAAAACATACTCAAGTACAGAACAGAACTCCATCCAGTACAGAGTCCAAGTCCTCACTCTTTCCTCCTCTCACATATAAACCTACACATCTACTGGTTTATAAGGATGGGCTCTCCCACTAAGTAATTCAGGCAGAGGTGTTGTCTTCTACAGAACAAAAGCCAAGAGGGTATGCAGCAATGAATGAGTTCAAAAGGAGAGGATGTGAGGGTGAAAGGAATATGTCAGGGACAATGAAGAGGAAAGCAATAGGGTGGAGACTGGGGATGTGGACTAGGGTATTAGGGATGTGGACAGACAGTGGTTGGGGCAGGACAGAAAGTGAGAAGCAGTAACAAATTTTTGTTTGTTTGTTTGTTTTCATTTCTCCCATTTCTTCCTTACTCTCTCTGTCATCTCTGTCTCTTCTGTCAATAACACCACTGTCAGAATGAGTGGAGGAGAGGAAGCACATCAGTGAGCTTCCCTTCCCCTCTCTTTCCTCCTCTCCATGTCTTCTGCCTCACTCCCCATTTGCTACCCCCAGGTTGAGCTCTAAGAACATATGTACAGTGTTAGAAATACATACTCAAGTAGCTATGGGTGATACAATAATATGATATCTCGGGCATGCAGACTTGCCTTAAAATGTTTCAACAAAACAAAACAAAACAAAAAATTAGAGTGCGTGGGGGCCAGCTCCGTGGCTTAGCGGTTAAGTGCGCGTGCTCCGCTGCTGGCGGCCCAGGTTCGGATCCCAGGCGAGCACTGACGCACGGTTTCTCCAGCCATGCTGAGGCTGCGTCCCACATACAGCAACTAGAAGGATGTGCAACTACGACATACAACTGTCTACTGGGGCTTTGGGGGAAAAATAAAATAAATAAAATTAAAAAAAAAAAATAGAGTAGGTGGGGTGTGGAATAGGCAAAACAAGAATGGCAGATTGTTTATAATTGTTGAGGGGGAGGTAGGCGTATCGGAGTTTATTATATTGTTCTCTGTGCTTTGGGATACATTTTAATTCCCATAGTAAAAAGAAATGTGTGTGTATATATGTGTGGGTGTATGTGTTTCCTACACAGTGAGCACTCTGCTATACTGTGTGCAATAAAATATTTTTGTCCTATCAATTGCTTATCTACAAAAAGCAACAAAATTAAGGAAGAAACATTTTGATTCAATCCCAGAGAGTATTAAAAATAAATTTTGGGGTAGCTTGGGAAAGATTCCTTTGAACCTATTAGAGGAGGTGGAGGTACAAGGACTAAGGAGCAATAGCAGAGAACATAGCTGTGACCGTCGGCAAGTTCTCTGACTGGATGGGTGGCCCCTGCTCACCATCTCCCCTCCAGTCTCACGGCCCCGAGAGCCGTGGCGGAGGTAAGGGAGGTGCTTTGAATATGTTTTCTCCCTCATGTCCTTTTGGTTACATAGTTCATCTCAGGAAAAATATTTGAGGTAACCCCGAAGGTTATCCAACTTGAATTCCCAAAGTCATCCTCACCCTAATTCTTAGAAGCACTATTTATACTCCTGCTACCCGCAGGACACATTTGAGAACATCCTTCTCCAGGAAACTTAGGGGATTATAGAAGAGGTCTAAGGGTCCTCTATTTCTGGATGATATTTAGGAGTCTTTATGATTAGATTCTTCTAGACTAACTTGGAAAAATGTATACGAAATTTTAAGAAAAATATAAATTCTAACCCCAGGGATTATTGATGATATAAAGCGGGCTCAGGAAAGTCCCCAAGGGTTTATGGAATAATTTAAAGTATACTCAGAGAACACAGTACTGTAAAGAATTCTTCAGTAAGCATTCACTGAGTACCTATTATGTACCAAGCTCTGGATTAGAGGGCCCTGTTTTCTAAAGCCTGGTTAAAAATGCCAATCGAGAGATTTAAGGAAAGCATAGTGATAACGATGCAATCATGCACACGTGTGCGTGCACACAGACACACTCACACACACACGCACTATACTTGAGATGCACCCCCTGCCCAACCCAATACTAACAAATTCTGGTTGGGAGAAAGTATTAATAAACCCTTGAGGTCAATACCGTTTCCTGATAATTAGGTATACCTGAATTGCAGTCTGGTCAGAGTGTCTCCCTAACAAGCCCACTGTCCTTTAAAGGCACTTCCTCCTGAAATGCTTCAGTGGTCACACGTGGAAGGTGACAGACACAATTATTAACTTTAAATAGGAACAAAACGGAACAGAGACTCAAGCTGGAAATGTCCCATCTGTAATTGTATGTCTAGGTGTGCTAACTTATTAGTTTTCATGAATTCTTACCGTTTCAGGGTCATTTTCAAAGACCTCCCTGGCTTCTTCCTTATTGCACAGTTCTTCGATGCATTCTCTTTCAAGATTACCCTTCTTGGTTTCTTCAAGCAAAGAATTTTCACGACGTTTCCTAACCAGGACTTGTGAAGCATGTTGCTTTGACAAAACTGAAGGGAAAATAAGTTTATATGAATAAATCTTTCATTTCTCCACCTAAAATAAGTTATTCTATTAAAAAATGAAAATTAAAATCATTTTCTGCCTGTGAATCATATGACATTTAAAATCAGTATGGTTGAACTGAGGCAAAAATGCCGATACACAAGCACTTCAGCTCACAGCTCAGAGAGCACGCTGGCTGTGCGGCTACAGCGCGTGTCTAATGACCTACACAGACTGTTCAAGTCTGTGCTTGAGGTCCAAGTACCAGACGGTATTTGACGTTTCCCCTACTGTGACTACACTGGAAAAAGCATCCTGCTGAAACAGCCACATCAGTCACGGCCACACCAGCTGCAAAGCCAGAATCACAAACTTCTTCAATTTTAATGGGAAACTGGCACAATCTCTGTAGAGACAGAGATCCAGTCAGCTATTTAAAAGATATTTGAAAGGCTGAAACACTTGATTATTCATACAAACAGGAGAATAAAAACCCACAGAAAAAGGAAGACCTCACGCAAAGTACAAAAAACAGAAGGCAAAGAGAAAAAATCAGTAACTTCGACTACACCAAAAATTTCAAACAGTTGAACAACAACAACAAAAATAACAAACATCAACATTAAGCAGCAGATTGGAGAAAAATATTTGCATCACATGGAATAAATCACATCCAGAAGGTTTAAGCAACTTTTGCAAACTAAAAAAAGCAAACAACAGGGGCCGGCCCACTGGCATAGTGGTTAAGTTAGCGAGCTCTGCTTTGGCGGCCTGGGGTTTGCCAGTTTGGATCCTGGGCATGGACCTGCACATCGTTCATCAGGCCATGCTGAGGCGGTGTCCCACATAAAGCAACTAGAAGGATGTACAACTATGACATACAACTACCCACTGGGGCTTTGGGGAGAAAAAAGGAAAAAAGAAGGAAGATTGACAACAGATGTTAGCTCAGGGCCAATCTTCTTCAAAAAAATAAATAAATAAATAAATAATAATAATAATAATAAAACAATAAGCCAACTAATACAGGAGTATGTGCAAGATTAAATATAAAATTATTTAAATAGTATAAATAAAATATAATCATTAGATAAATGCCAAGTAAAAAAGAATAAAATAGAACTGTTCTAGGCAAATTGGCATGTATGGTCATGCTAATGATATAATATAACACAACTCAACAATTCTGCTTCTAAATATGTCCTACAGATATGCACTTGTGCTGGAAAAGGCATGCATAGAATGTTTATTGACAAATTATTTATAATATCAAAAAATTAGAAACAACCTAAAATGAGCCGGCTCCGTGGCTTAGCGGTTAAGTGTGCGCGCTCTGATGCTGGCGGCCCGGGTTCAGATCCCGGGCACGCCCCAAGGCACCACTTCTCCGTCCAACGCGAGGCCGAGTCCCACGTACAGCAACTAGAAGGATGTGAACCTATGACATACAACTATCTACTGGGGCTTTGGGGGGAAAAAAATGAATAAATAAAATCTTTAAAAAAAAAAAAAAAGAAAGAAACAACCTAAATAACTATCAAGAAGGGAATGGAAAAATAAGCTATAATACATCTGTACTGTGGAATGATATGCAGCTATTAAAAAGAAGGAAGATACTCTTGCACTGAAGATCTCCAAGATATATTAAGTTAAAAAATGCAAATTGTGGAATGCCACACCTATAGCATAATCCTACGTATATCAGCCATACTTGTAGATATGTAAATATCATGTGGACAAATACATAAAACAGAGTTTAGAAAGACACTCAAACTACTGATTTCAATTATATTTGAAGAAAAGAATGGAGAGTATGAAGTTTGGGGTTTATTATTTCAGTAAGTGAATAGAACATTTTTTTTAATGAGAAATTTTAAAAGTACAAATAAAATCTACATATAATTTTTTAAATTCTGATTTTAACCACAAATGGTTCTTTCACTAAGATAAGCAAGTAATATAAACAGCTTATTTTTCTCTTATTTCTCTTATTACCTGGCAAATAACAAGAAATAAATACTCAAAAGCTGACAATAGAAGGAAGAAAAGGAAAAGTAAAAGGACTAATTAATCAACAATCATCATAATTATTAGTAGAATAATTAAACATCTTTCAAGACTGAAGTAAGTAATGTTACTTCATGTCTCTTACTTGCCAAAACAGAAACTTAAATGTGATGACTGAGTAAATAAATAAAGTGTTTGGATTATATTTTTAACCTTACCTTACCATCTTTATCACTACTCATTAAGATAAAGATTAAATCAAGGCTTTGTGTGTCTAAAAGCTGCCCTTCTGAGAGCATGCTACCAGCCAAGGGCATTACTAACTGGTCAATGGCAGCCCTATCAACCATGAACGAGCCTGACATGGGCGATTATCTCTTCATTTGAAGTAGTTTAAGCATGCTACTTTATAACAAATATAGCAAAAACTTGGCCCTTCTGAACTTGAAAGCAAATATATGAGTCTTTCTGGGGAAAACAATGACACTTTCTTTGAAAGATAAATACACTGATGCAACAACAAAAAAATCAAGGTCAGATGCACTTAGAAACAAATTATAAACACCACTCTTCGGCATTTGTTCCTCACAGAATATTAAGTTTTGGCTTAATGTTGATATTTAAGTATATCTCCTTCCCTATAAGGGCCCCCACTGCAGCCACAGACCAGGTGTAGGAACACACACTATATTCATGTTTGTGAAACGGGGAGTTCTTACCTGTCCAGGGAGCACAAAGGCAGGGGTTTAAAGGAATGCCCACATAAGTTTATAAAACTAGAAGGAAATATAATAACCTTCATTATTTTGGAGATGATGAGACTCAGATAAAGAGCATGCGAGATGTTTGCCTTAAGTTATAAAGCTAATAAACAGCAGAAGTATGACAGATCCCAAGCACCCAGTACCCAGACCTGCCACCACCATCACTGCCTGCTGCTCCTCAGAAAACAGGCAGGAGCTGTACTGTCTCCACTGAGGAGTGTTAAAAAGAAAAACTGTTAAACCTGTGACCTAAAGGATCCTGAAGCTAACAATCAAAAACTAATTTTGTCTAAATTTGAATGTCTATGTTTTATTTCATCTAAGTTCAACTCAATAGTGCTTTAAATTGGCATGGTACTTAATTTTTAAAGTGTATATTAATTATTTCATTTGATCCTCACACAAATAATGAAATAAACTACAGGATAGAATTATCATCCCCATTTTCCTATTGAAGAAATTGAAGCAGAAAGAGGTTGCATGATTTGCCCCAGGTCGTGGAGCTAGGAAGTAGTGCTACTGGGATAGGAATTTAAATATATCCATCTTCCTAGAAGCTCTCTCTTCTGTGTATTCTGCCACTCAAATGCCCACAGTGTACTTGGTTCATAAAAGAAATTATGTGGGGGGCTGGCCAGGTGGCATAGTGGTTAAGTTTGCCTTCTGCTTTGGCGGCCCGAGGTTCGCAGGTTTGGATCTTGGGTGTGGGCCAACGCACCACTCATCAAGCCATGCTGTTGCGGCATCCCATATACAAAAAATAGAGGAAGATGGGCAGAGATATTAGCTCAGAGCTAATCTTTCTCTGCAAAAAGAGGAGGATTGGCAACAGATGTTAGCTCAGAGCCAGTCTTCCTCACACACACACACGCACACACACACAAAACGAAATTACGTAATTGTGGAGTGGACAAGTTTGATGTCTTAAATAAGACACATACTGTCTTTTATAAAATAAACCAATCCATCTATAGAGTGTGCTTTCAAAGGAGTCTACAAGCCTTGTCAAAAAGATATAAACATGACACCACAGATTCAAATTAAGAACTACAGGGCTGTGGGGTGAGACCAATAAATGGTTAGAAGTGCTTTTACCAGCTGCTCAAAGTCCATATGCCCAAAACCTCCTCCCCGCTGGCCTGCAGGAATATCTAAAGAGCTCCATTATTTATCTCACTAACAACCATGGCACACAAGCACGTAAATGCTGTTTTTGCATTATCTCCGTTAATCCTAATCACAACTATTCTAAGTAGACAGTAATTTTCCCATTTTATACATGAATAAACTGAAACTCAGGGAAGTGGAGTTAATTTTAACAAATTCACACAGCTGAGAGCAGAGCCACGCCTGCCTCCAAACCTGCCCCTTTCTGCGTTACCCACAGCCTCCGGTCATGTTTCCCTTCTCTGGATTAAGAAGCTTCTCAAGAAAGTCCTTGTTAAAACTCAAGTATGTTGCTTGACAAGTGTTACATTCAGATTCAAAATTTTAGGTTATAATGTTTAGTTACGAGCCTTTCAAGATCAGAAGTATGACTGAATCTACTTGAATTTCTAACTGATCTGAGTCATCCCCTCAAAATAGTGATCATAGCAGGGTGAACAATTATTATGTCAATAATGTAACCATTGTTCAAACAGTAACTGGAATTCTCTTTTGAAATTGTCTTCATAGCCTTCACATGTTCCCTTCAATAATTTCTATGGGGGCAAATCTTTGTTTTTCAAGCATAAATGTGTCTTACCTCCAAAAGAGTAATTTATTGTTGTTGGTACTTAATGTAAGCATCTGTCATAAGGACAGCAGGGTTAGCATTGCCTCTGCTCACAGGAAAATTCCCCCACTGTCCAATTCAGTTCCAGCGTGGTCCAGGAGAGGTCCTTTCTTCAGGCCCTGCTCTCCATTTAGGTGTGCACGCTTGCTACCTTCTGTTCAGAGTGGGCAGGACCACAGACCTGCAGGTTGTCCAAAACTGATCAGCCAGATGAGGGTGAGGTTGCAGATGGAGGAGGTCCAAGCTTTAGGACAGCTCATCCTCTGAATCTCTTCCATTCTGCTCTCCTGTCCTTTGCAAATATGGTTCTCATCTCATGGATTCCTCCCTCCAAAGCTCATTTCTTTTTCAGTTCTGCTTTCTGCTCTCCTTTCCCTAGGCCCTTGTTATCTAGCATCCCAAGAATGCAAAACTGCCCCTAAAAGAATGTGTCTGAGGAGAGAACCTCTGGCTAGCA